TGCATTGGCAGAGGGAGTCAATGGGGCTGTAGTCATTTGGAGATGAGGCTAGGTAAATCTGGGTGTCATCTGCATAGCTGTGATAGAACCAAATTGCCTTTCTCATGATCTGACTTAGAGGGAGCATATACAGCCTAACAGGAGCGGTGCAAGAATTGAGCCTTGTGGGACTCCGCATGTCATGGACTGGATATTTTGCCAGAATCAGAATTAAAGTGAATATCATTTATTATCTTAATGAGCGCTGTCTCTGTGCTGTGATGCGGTCGGAAACCAGATTGAAAATTGTTCAGGTATCCATTTGAGTTTAAGTATTTGTTCAGCTGATTAAAAACTACCTTTTCAATAATCTTGCCTATAAAAGGAAGATTTGATATTGGTCTATAATTGCTCAATATGGTGCTATCAAAGATTGCTCTTTTTCAGGAGGGGCTTAACATAGGTGTTAGTAGTGATTAATGCATGTTGCACAGATTTGTTCAGATATGCTGCAATGTGTTCAGACATGCTGTGTGTTTTACTGTCATATCATGTGACAGATAATGTGACGTACCTGTGGGTCCATCAGCCGTGTGTGATTGGGTTTCAGGTAATAAACAATCCCGTCCACAGCACCAGGTAGAGAAACCCCACGAACCAACAACACCAGCAGCATCAAATACGGGAAGGTGGCTGTGACATACACAACCTACACAATACAACACAAAACACACCACACCACACAAATAATAACAACAACAACAACAACAACAACACGCATCATAACTTAATGAACTACAACTGACAATTTGAAAAAAAAACAACAACAACAACATACAGAGTTAGAAGCACAATTCAGAACAGGCACAATTTCAAATTAAATAAACCATAAATTAATTAATATTAAAATGAAGTATGATTTTTTTGCTTGTATTTTAATGCCATGCCAGTGACCACAGCTATTTTCATGGCTAAAACATATATGGAGGGATTTAACAAACTAAATTACTGTCACACTACGAGCCAGAGATACAAGGTAAGGATGCAAACAAGAGGGTTTATTGAACAATGCGGAGAGCAAGTTGATGACAGGCGAGTATGAGATGCTAGAGAGTTCTTGGGTTCTTAGCTCTGGGTAGTTCGTTGGTATCCTTTGCAGGTATCCGGAGAGGATGAGAACGGGATCATTGGAGATCAGGATCGATGGAGCTTCTAGGGGTAAGTAAACAACAGATCAGATAAAGGTAGGTGTCAGGCTAAGTTCAAGCTGGTGAATGGTAGACCGGACCGTGAGGCCGTGAGAGGAGTGCAGGGATATAGTGTGCTTAATGAGTCTCTGCAGGTGCCGGTGGTGTTCTGTCGGAGGGAGTTTTGTGCATACTCGGCCCAGGGGAGAAAACGGCTCCAGCTGTGCTGATCTTCGTGGCAGTATGACCGGAGGTAACGCCCGAGCTCCTGGATCCTTCGCTCAGTCTGGCCGTTCGTCTGAGGATGGTACCCGGAGGACAAGCTCACGGTCACTCCCAGGAGTCGGAAGAAGGCTTTCCATACACGGGAGATGAACTGGGGACCCCGGTCTGAAACCACATCCTCCGGGATGCCGCAGTTTCTGAAAACATGGGTAAATAAGCACTCTGCAGTTTCTAGTGCTGTTGGCAGACCTTTGAGGGGTATAAATTTACAGGCCTTACAGAAACGACGAGGATACAGGTGTTTCCGTCGGAGATGGGTAGGTCAGTCACAAAATCCACTCCTTTGTGGGACCAGGGTCTCCGTGGTATGGGCAGCGGGACAAGCTTGCCTACGGGAAGATGACGAGGAGTTTGAGACATGGCACAGACTGAGCAGCTTCGGACGTACCTGGTGACATCCCGGGCCATACTGGGCCACCAGTACCGGGCTTGGAGGAGCAAGAGGGTCCGTTTGATGCCTGGGTGTCCAGAGCCCGGTACTCTGTGAACTGAGCCCAGAAGGGTTTGGCGTTGTGATGTTGGGACATAGGTTTTCCCCTCTGGGCCTCCCAGCGGAGCAGGCTTAGTGCGAGTGGCGTCAAGGATGTCTTTGGAGATGTTCCATTGAATGGAGCTGACTATCAGAGCTGGAGGGAGAATGGGTTCCGGTTTGGTGGGTGTGTCAGGAGAGTGCAGGCGTAATAGGGTATCGGCTTTGCAGTTGCGATTTCCGGGATGGTAAGTGATGGTGAACTGGAACCAAGTAAAGAACAATGCCCATCTGGCTTGACGTGGGTTGAGTCTTTTAGCATCTCTGAGATATTGCAGATTTTTATGATCGGTGATGACAGTGAAAGGATGGTGGGCTCCCTCCAGCCAGTGACGCCACTCCTCCAGAGCTAATTTGATGGCGAGCAGTTCCCGTTAGCCGATGTCATAGTTCTGCTCCGCTGGGGTCAATTTTCTGGAAAAGTAAGAGCAAGGATGGAGGCTGGGAGGCTCACCACACAGCACGGCCCTGACTCCGGTGGTGGAGGCGTCCACTTCCACCACAAAGGGAGCTTGGCGATCTGGATGACGAAGGATGGGGGCTGTGCTGAAGGCTTCCCTGAGTTGTTCGAATGCTTTGTGGGCCTTGGGGCTCCAGGACAGGGACTTGGGCTTTCCTCTGAGCAGGGAGGTAAGAGGAGCTGTGAGTATGCTGAAGTTCTTAATAAACCAAGGAATCTTTGCAGGTCCTTAACAGTTTGGGGCTGCGGCCACTCCTTGATGGATGTTACCTTCCCCTGGTCCATCTGAATCCCATCCCGGCTGATGATGTAACCGAGGAACTGAACCGTAGAGCGATGGAATAAACACTTCTCCAGTTTAAGGTAAAGGTGATGTTGTCGGAGCCTCTGGAGGACCTGCTTCACGTGGTGGCGATGTTCGGCCAGGTTCCGGGAATATATGAGGATATCATCGATATAGACTATCACGAAGCGATGAAGGAACTCCCGGAACACCTCGTTCATGAAGCCTTGGAAGACTGACGGTGAGTTAGCTAGGCCATACGGCATGACCCGATATTCATAGTGGCCTGTGGGAGTTATGAATGCCGTCTGCTGCCGCCTTCCCGGATACGAATGAGGTTTTACGCGCTCCGCAGGTCCAACTTGGAGAAGATGCGGGCTCCACGGAGTTCCTCGAGGGCAGCTGGAACCAGGGGAAGTGGGTATGGCAGCTTTACCGTCTGGGAGTTCAGCGTGCGATATTCGATACACGGCCTCAAGCCCCCGTCCTTCTTGCCCACGAAGAAGAAGCTCGAGGCAGCTGGTGAGGTGGATGGTTGGATGAATCCCTGTTTGAGAGCCTCCTGGATGTAATCCTCCATGGCCTTGCGCTCCGGGATGGACAGAGGGTATGCTCTACCCTTGGGGAGTTTCATCCCAGCCAGCAGGTTGATGGAACAGTCCCATGGCCGATGAGGTGGAAGGCAGGTGGCGGCCTGCTTACTAAAGACATCCTGGAACGCCACATAGTCAGATGGGACAGTAGGTGTCTCTTGAGGTTCCTGACTTTCGACTAGGGTGGAGGCAACTTGGGCTCGGACTAGATACGCAGGCGGTTTGGGGATCTCCACGAGACAGTTTTGCCGGCACGACTCACTCCAGCGAGTTACCTCACAGGGTTCCCATCTGACCTCTGGGAAGTGGAGAGTGAGCCAGGGGCGTCCCAGGATGATATCAACGGTAGATCCCTCCAGTACCAGAAATGTGATAGTCTCCTCATGCAGACATCCGATCTTCAGCTTCATCAGCGGGGTTCATGATGCAATTAATTATTTATTTACATTTTTTTGTATGCATGCATGCTTACATTCCAATGCACTTTTATGTTTTCATGGCAAAATTTCATGATGCATTTAATGATTTATTTATATATTTAAATCCTCCTAATTAATATGAAAAGAAAAAACTTAAACATTTTTTTTTACAAAAGTTAAAATTGCTGAAACATCACAATCCAATAAAATATGCCTCTGGACTGGGCATAAAAAGGCATGAAGGAGGATCTTCTCTTATGTTATTGTATAAAAACATGGGCATCACTCACTCATGTGCAGTGTTTACCTTGCCGATGGATTTGACTCCTTTCCAGACACAGAAATAGCAGACTGTCCACACCAGCAGCAGACACAGGGCCAGACGCCAGTTTACTGAGTCCAGACGATCCACACTAGCAGACAGGTCCAACACCTCACGTCTGGAGAGAGACACACACTCACAAACATCCACAAACACACCATCAAATCCTTCAAATCATTGCCACGCGTTCATACCAGACACTTACTCCCAAAACTCAATGACTGGAGACGTGGCGTTTTCAGAGAGATCGCTCATGTTGTGTCGATCAAACCCCCTGCAGGAGTCTAAAGGAGATACAAGACAATGCATTTACACTATATTACCCAGGATTACACTGATGTACTTTGTTTAAACTTTGGATGCTCTGGAAGTCACTTTGGATACGAAACTCATCTGCTGAATGAAAGCATTTAAATCTAGATGCATTTGCTGTTAATGTTAAACAAAGTCGTTTAATCTAAAATATCAAATTTGGCTCGAAATTGCATTATAATGTGGAAAAAGTCTTTCCAAAACCCTGCCCTTAAAAACATGTCAGCCAATCTGATGCCAGCAAACACAATGACTGACAAGCAGAGAGCATTTCTGATTGGCTAAAAAAAATAAAAACAATAAAGACTGTAGCAGAGACAGGTAGAATTTGACATTTTACAAGTAAACTATATACACTGAACAAAATTATAAACGCAACACTTTTGTTTTTGCCCCCATTTTTCATGAGCTGAACTCAAAGATCTAAGACTTTTTCTATGTACACAAAAGGCCTATTTCTCTCAAATATAGGCTCATGAACTGAGAAATCAAATTTCCCTGGATCTTTTGACATATAACAGATCAATGTATAAAAGCATCCTGTAAGTTTCAAAACTCAAAACTTTCTTGTTAGTTTCAAAACAGCTTTTATTGAAAGCAAGCTCAGAAAATGACTCGTTTTGGAATGTGCCACTTTATGACGTAATAGTGTGGCTGAGCACCGCCTCCGCAGGAGAAGATCACCGCCTGCTTCTACATCACTGCCTCTTTAGAATAGGAGGAGAAGAAATACTAGAGAGACACAAACACAGGATTACACTCCATCAACAGAACCAGACAGATGACATTACAAGATTACAAGACACTGTGTAGTAGAGATGCGCGGATCAGCTCAAACGTCACCCGAATCCGCTGCTTCAAACCGACCCTTACCTATATTTTTCTCTGATTTAGATATCCGACCCGCACCTGATTGTCACAATAAAATTATTCTAATTCTTAGTTTTACATGATGATATGATGAATTGATGGTTCATTTTTAACAGCAGATTCATGTTAGAGCTGGTCTGCGCATCACTACACATGTCTGCGGTGCATTACGGCTCCGACACGACCACAGGAGCTGATCACGGCCACGCAATGCTTGAGTTTATACCAGCCATGCCGCGCAGCACATTTCAGAAATGGCTCTCCATGCTGCTTCGCTAAAGATAGTGTAACGGCCACTAGAGTATTTACGGTAGTTTTGTGGCAGAGGGACAACTGCGCATGTGCATAGTGTGTGTCTGTATGTTATTAAAAGGTGAAAAGATAATCCGCTCTACTGACATTTGTCTATCTTTATTTTATTTCGCTCCTTTTCTGTTTGTGACCTCAGTTGGATGCTTACTTGTCTACATTTTTCCTCACTCATCCCATGTATGTGGATGAGTGTGTCGGTGCTTGAGGCATTTTTATTAAACCCGGGGAAAATATGCCCTTTCCTCGTCTCCCATGAATTATTCTCCTCCAGCACCACATGGTATTCCTATCTGGGCTATTGAACATTTCACAATAAGATATTACTGTTTGCGGTCACGTTTTTTCATTCACTTCACGTGGCCTGACACATGCAGTAAGGAGTGCTGATTCCGAAGGACTGGAAGAGACTTACTGACTGGAATTGACTTACTGACATGTTCTGACTATTTACCAAGACAGAGTACATCTCAGAGTGGGGGATGGAGACTTACGGTCTCAGGTGCAGCTCCTGCAGGATGAGATTGCTGTACTGCAGTGTTGGCTCCGTGATTTGCTGGATCTGCAAAAGAGTATGATTGATTGCATGAGTCCAGATGAAGGTACCGTTGAGCCACGACCACGGTCTAACCCTTCTACGCCATTTTGGCCGACTCCAATAGGCATTTCAAGGTCAGTTTCTAGTAATGTGCCTCATGTATGTGCGCCTGCGGTGGCTCAAACAACCTCGGCTGATTTGTCAGTTATGTCCAGGATCTTGGCCTCTGTCCTTCATCAATCATGTCTTGAACCTTTAATATTTGACGGTGAAGGAAAGGTGAGTCCGGATGACTGGCTTCAGTCTGTTGACATATACAGGACTTCATTAGACCTTACTGATTCACAGATGTTACTTGAGCTCCCTCGCTTTCTGTCCCTTGATCGAGTCCAGATGCCAGATGAACATTTACCCACATTTGTCGCCCACATGCTTAGTGAATTTCAAAAACTGAGATCTCTGCCTCCTAAGCGGGAACAAATTGAGCTAATATGTAAGCACGCTGTCGAACAATACAGGGTAGCACTCTATGGTACGTTGGTGACGTCTGTGATGGACCTTCTTTTGCGTGTGCGTGAGCTGCATGCGGTCTTGGGTCCATGTGGTCAATATGCGCCCCAGGTCCCACAGTCAGTTCCTGTCACAAGAGAACTTCATTGATTTAAGTGCTTGACACCGGAGTTTACTTCCCGTAAATGTCCAAACTGTAGACAACAAAATAGCCCAAATGTGTACTCGAGGTAGGGCTGCATGATTAATCGAAATTAATTTGCAATCGCGATTATCGTGATTTGGCAAAAGCTGCGATTGTCATGCGATTCTTGTCAGGGAAGCACAGTTCTGTGATCAGTAGAAAATCTCCATCCGAAGGCCAGAGGGCGCTCTCACGCGGAAACTCCAAATACGCCCCACAGAAGAACTCCAGGAAATCCCTATAGCGGTTGCTGAATAAACAGAAGATTTATTCTGTGTAAGAAGCCACATCATCTCACAGACGGATATATTTCAAACACTCGACTGATGTTATGAAGTGAGTTTGGAATAAAAACATGTTATTAAATGTGGTATTTCACGTGCTTTCAGATGGAGCAGCATTTACTACACAGAGCCGTAGTTCACTGACAAGCTGCGCAAACAGCTGCTTCATCTGAAAGCACGTGATGGAGATTTACTACTGATCACAGAACCGGCTTTACTGACAAGATGCGCATGACAATCGCATTCGATTAATCGTGCAGCCCTAACTCGAGGTTCAACCAATTGTGGGGCTGGACAGACTGCTGAGACATCAAGTTCAGAAAACCCAAGTAACAGGTCTCAGACAGCATTTGCAGGACTGAGTGCTTCAGTCAGCCCCGGTTGGAAAACTTCAGAGGGGGGAGGACATTTCAGAGAGGCAATCTTGGCATTTTCATGGCCAGGTACTTGAAGCTACCCTCCAGATACGGGGGCTTCTGTTTCAGCTGTGAGTGCAGATGCTTCAAGATTTGTTCCTGGGGGACTTTCAAAACAACAGCTTGGTCTGCACCTCCTTTGCAGCTTGCTGATGGGGGAATGTGTTGTCCATCGGGTGTAGCTTGGTTACAGTTTGGGTTCATGGGCCAATGCTTTTACCATCGCTTTTCAGTCATCCAAAATCTTTCAACCCCGCTTGGGCATGGATTTTATGATGAGAGCTTCTGTTGTGATCCAGGTTCCTTCCAGAATAGTTGTTCTGGGCAATGTGCCAGAGATTGCAACCGAACTGGAGGGCATTGACGTGGTGATGCGAAATCACAGTATGCTCGGCTTGCAAACCGGTTCTTCTAGTCTGGACACAAAAGTTGATGAGGCTGCTTCAAAGGAGGATGAAAAAAATAAAACTTGCTGAATTGTTGAGATCTTTTGCTGAATTATTTGATGGACATCTAGGCTATACATCCTTAGTTTAAAGGGGTCATATGATGCGATTTCAATTTTTCCTTTCTCTTTGAAGTGTTACAAGCTCTTGGTGCATAAAGAAGATCTGTAAAGTTGCAAAGACTAAAGTCTCAAATCCAAAGAGATATTCTATATAAACGTTAAGAGTCAGCCACACCTAAGTTTCAGAAAGGCGGGGCATAGAGGAGAAACAATAATGTACAGTATGTGGAAAATAATGTGTTTTTTTAACCTTAAACCGCATAAACACATTTCATTACACCAAATACACAAAATAAAGTTCTTTTTAGCAGCATCATATGACCCCTTTAACACAAAATTGACACTGGACAGGCCCAACCTATCCATCTCGCTCCATACCGTACTTCACCAGCAAAAAAAGAGTTGATTGAGCGGCAAATTCACATGGTGTTGGCAAAAGGCATTATTGAACCGGCGTCGGGGCCGTGGGTCGCGCCAATTGTCATCATTCAAAAGCCTTCTGGGGAACCAAGGTTTCGCATAGATTATCGGGGGTTGAACCGTCATACAGTGAAAGACTCGTACCCACTTCTGAGAATTGACGAGTCCCTTGATTTTCTAGGAAGGGGTAATTTTGTGTCACAATCGACTTAGCCAGGGGCTATTGGCAGGTTGCCATGGAAGAATCGTCTATTCCAAAGACTGCTTTCATTTCTCACTGTGGGCTGTACCAGTTCCATGTTCTACACTTTGGCCTGTGCAACGCCCCAGCCACTTTTCAGAGGCTCATGAACACAGTGCTAGCAGGCCTCATCTACAAAGTCTTGTGCAGTTTATCTCGATGATATTGTAGTCATCTCGCCCACATTTGAACAACACCTGATAGATCTGGAGGAGGTCCTGGCTAGGCTGAGATCTGCTGGCCTGTCGATCAAGTTTGACAAGTGTCAGTTCTGTATAAAGGATCTTAACTTCTTGGGCTATCAGGTTACCAGGGATGGTATTTTACCCAATAAGGAGAAGGTGAAGGCTGTGGTAGATTTAGCTACTCCAGGAAATGCCAGGCAGGTGAGACAGTTCTTGGGTATAATAAGTTATTACCGGCGATTCATTCATGAACATGCACGACATGCTGAACCTCTTTTCACACTTACGAGAGCCAACGTTTCTTTTGTGTGGACACAAGACTGACAGAATGCTATGGATTTCCTTAAAAGTACACCGACATCTGCGCCTATCTTGAGGTTCCTGCAGTTTTCACTTCTGTTCTTCATTCACGTGGATGCATGTGATGTTGGTCTGCGTGCTGCTTTAATGCAGAGGGATGAGCAACTGTGCAGTTGCTTATGCCAGCCGTGCTTTTCACAAGTCCGA